AAAGATGGAGTCCTCTTATTCATCCTAATGGAAAAAGACCGAGTCTTCTTTCAATTTTTCAATTGTCAATAAACCTTAAGGTCCGTTTGATTGCAATTGTATAAAATAAGTGGAAAAAAAATGAATTACAAGGAACGTAATTGCCTAAAAATTATTTTGCAGGGAATTATTAATTAAATGTGTTTGATTGATATAATTTTCCACCTGGAAAATTTTTAAATTTTGTGTTCTTTTGGCTTTATTTTATATGAAAATTGTCCATTAAAATGATAATTTTTTCTACAATTGGTTATAAAATTTGTTTCCATTGCTAAAAAGTAAATAAAAAAAATTCATAAAAAATCATTTTTTAATCAAATTTTTGTGTCCGTTTGATTTTGTTTTACATGTAAATTGTCAATTAAAGTGAATTTTTTTTTTACAATTGGTTATAAAATTTGTTTCTATTGCCAAAAAAAAATAAAATGGCAGAACCTGGAAAAGGCATTCCCACCAATCCATTTTTAAGGAAAAAGGGGATGAAATTTTTTCTTGGCTAAATTTGTCCAATCAAACACTTGTGTTGCATGGAACTTGGAAACAAGTGTAATCACACACTACCTAAAAGTTCTTTTGAGTTAACTTTCTCAAATGTTTCCCAGTTTCCATTAAACTTAAGTTTAATGGCGAAGTAATAAAAGTTTAGCGCTAGAAACTAAAATTCAATTTAGAAAACGAGTGCAAGGGAGAAAATTTTACGGTGGACCATAAAAGTTTAGCACTAGAAACTAATATTCAATTTATTAAACTAAACGGATGGAGAAAATTTTGCACTGGACCTGGTCCAATGAATATCGAAGGTCTTTCCCGTGCAATATTGGTTAAGTTCAGACGATTTACAGAAATCCCACATCACAGAAGTAATAGAAAATTCATTTAAGATAGATAGAGTGGTGAAACAAGATAAAATATAGAAGAGTACAAATCCTAGTTCCCACACAAAGATTGAAGCCTTCAAAGATGGACTTTATCCAAATCCAGGACTCAATTAAAAAGACGTATATACAAGTGGTCATATATGTATGTATTACAGTGTCATTAATGTATGAAAATACTCTGTTTCTTGGGTAAAATTTATCTAGAAATTGATTTCTTTCTAGCTGAATGAAAATGATGCAGTTCCTGCCCTGCTCACTTTTGATCGAATCTTGGGACATAAATCTCCGCATAAGACACGACAACTTGCATTTTTTTTTATTCGTCGTGGAATATTAGATTTTTCAGTAAATCTTTGAACACGGATGCTAAAAAAAAGATGTAAAAAAGTTGACTCCAAACTTATTCAAAAACAGGCTTAATTTGTTGCTGACGAAAACCACATCGTCTGCAACTTATTGCTATAGTAGCAATTTGGTCCCCAACCACAAGAAAGAACGTGTCCGGTGTCCCCTATGATGAAAACCAGTCATATTTCTATAGAATCATGTGCCCTCATGTGTCTAACTTTGTGATGCTATATTTTGCTTACCAACTCGGATTCATATCTAGAAATTTGAAGCAAGATGTGTGGGGGACCATGTAGCAATTAAACGAAGATTTGGATAATTTCCGTAGTTGAAGACTAATTGTGCCGCTGTAATGAAAGACTGAAGACAAACTTGCTCCCTCTTTGTTGATAAACAACTCACTCGATTTATGAAGATTAAGAGCTAGAAAATACGGTTATCCCTATGTCCACTCTATAGGATAACTTATACCTAGATATATATACGAATAAACCCCGAAAACGAATAGCAGAATACATTAGTTTCAGACTTCAGGGTACTTATCAGCTGCTTCTTTTGCGTAAAACTAGAACATAGGAAAGTAAATTTCATTCTGAAATGACAAATATATAACAAGATAGTTTCAAGAAGCAAATGCACCGACTCGTGCAAGGCCTTCATAGTTTCAAGACGCAAATGCACCGACTCGAGCAAGGCCTTCCCAAAAAAGGAACCACTCATATCAACAAACACTGAATCTATTTGCTCAATCAGCTTTGTCCCTTGCAGACTTGAAGTTATAGTCAAGTTTATGACCACGAGCGGGCTTCTAGATCAACTTTGTCCATCGACAAACAACAGCACCAAAAACAAAACCTTATTATTGTAAATTTGGGTTTACATAAATCTATATTCTCCGCTCTGAGTTCATCTTTGTCCCTCTACAGTTCCACTGTTATATAAAGTGTTTTCCCGTATATCTTTTCCACAGTTGTCCAAATACTGCCATTATACCAAGCTTAATATTAAACAGGCTACAGATTCAGAAAAGTTAACAGGATCTAATTCTATAGCATCCAAAAAAACTCAATCTATAGCCACATTACTCAAAGCCATTGCCATTGTCTTTGCAGCATTGCCACTCTGTAGACATAAAAAAAAAATAATAAATAAATATATAAGTAATGGGTCGGGTCAATTTAAATGATTAGCCCAATTAAACTAAAACCTAATAAACCCATAAAATTTTAAAAGCCCACCCTATTTTTTTTAAAATACATAATTATTCAATTATAATCAATTTAATTGAATTAATTGAGTGATTACCAAAATTGGCTACTAATTTCTCTTATAAATAGGGTCAAATGTTCATTGCAAATGGGAGGGCAAAAAATGAACAAGAAATCACGAAGTGCTGAAAAAATCCTAAAGCCGAAGGAAGAGAAAAAATCATCTCAACTCCAAATCCGGCAAACACGAAGAAGATCAAAATCTCTTTCAAATCAAACAAACCCAAGAAGATCAAAATCT